GCTCTTTCAGGCACATCGTATAGTAGGATCTTCCTAACTGTGCTGTCTCCTAGGTGGTAGTAGCCCTGGAGCTGTTGCAGGCCTATTTTAGCGAATTTGAAGAGCCGGCGTATGCCCTCTTTGTGCTTGGTTCTGATCTCTGCACCTGGGAGACGTGGAGACATAGGTGGAGTGGTAAAAGGATCCATAATGGTGGAGTTGTTGATAGTTTAGTCCTAATGTGAAGAGTTTTAATTTCGAGGTTCTACAGCCTGAACGCACGGACTTTTGTCCCCATGTTCGTAAGCGAGCCCCTAAAACCTGTGCTCGTCGAACATACCAGACCCGTACGCCGCCACAAGCACGTTATCATCAAACCTCCACGCCCGAGACCGAGGAGCACGACGATGATGATAACAACTATGCACTACCCTTGTTGTGGGCGTATGCACTACCCTGATTGTGGGCGTCGTTCCATCCGGATTAACAAACATACCACCGTTCTCAACCCAACGCTTGAACCTAGCAAATCCTTCTTCCGCCGATTCGTTTCGGCAATTGCAATTCTCGCGTTTTTTCCCGAGGCCTAGTTTCTGCTTTATGGAGGCCCACCAGCTGAGAGGCTTAGATTTAGGTGTTTGTGGTTTTGGTTGTGGTTTTGGTTGTGGTTGAGTGTTGATTTTGTTGCCGGGATCAGATTCCTTGTTAGGTTTTTCTGGCTCGATTTTTTTGCTAGATTTTTCTGTGGCGTTTATTTTGGGTTTGGAGAAGTATTTGTAGATAGGGCGGAAGATGGAAGTGAAGAGCGTCATTTTGTTGGAGGTGAGCGTTGGAGTGATATCTGAGGTTTGATGTTGGAAGTTGAAAGATTGGCAGTGGGTGAGTTTTTGAATCGGTTGTTAAATTACAAGAACATGTCGTCCTCGCAGAAAGGAACTTAATTTATAATATTGGCGTTTGATTTTGGACTGCGTGTAGTCAGCCTTAGTGTAAGACTTCGTACTTTTTGATGTGTCATGTGCTTAGAAGATTAGCTAGTGGATCAAATTTTAGGAGGCTGACTTCTAGTTCGAAAGTGACCTCACTAACTTGGGTTACCTTAGAATGACGATACCTAAGAGTTGGGGTATGCTAGAGAGCCGGGAGTTTGAATAAGTACGGTCACGTGTTAGAGATCACTTGACGACATTTTTACTCGGGCACCAAAAGCGGAGCTCGGGAGTATAAGGAACTATTCTATTGGTGGTGTCGTTTAAGAAGGGGATAGAGAAGAAGTTAGGTTAGGTCTGCGGAGTCAGGTCATTTGCCGCAGGAGGATGCGGACGACTTGTCAGGGAGTTCGTTGCTGAATGAATGAATGTACGGATTGTGAGCTCAACAAATTGTGGTGTGGAATGCTGGATAGAAATTAGGACTTTATCTGCTGTGGTTTCTTGGAGAACAATGTACATATTTTCAAAATCACACAGCGGACCATCGAATCTCCGAACTCCCCTCAACTCCTTCGCTCTACAATAAGAGCCCACAAATAGGTATCGGTACCACAAGACTCCAGCAAACGCAAAATTCTAGCCTGCAAATAAAGTTGCTTACAGAACACATCAACGCCTCAAAGAATGCTACCAAACCATGTTCACGCCTTAACATTCTCCTTTCCTGCTTCCGCAGCTTTTTTCTTTTCCGCTGCCTTCGCCTCTAATCGTGCTTTCGCAGCTGCAACTCTTTCCGGGGGAATTGGAACTTTCGTCTTGGTCGTCTCCAGAGCAGGTAGACGACTGGCATCTGCAAGTCTACTGGAATTGATATCGGCAAGTCGACGGGAGCCGAGATCATTGTTAGATCGTTGCCGTGAGAGGCCATTCGCGGTATGAGTTCGCATTAAAGCCGCTTTTGGAGGACTAGATGCTATATTGAACATCGACGGTCTGGGACTAGCATTGCAATTCCGGGCGTGGACACCTTTGGCAGGTTCAACCAGTTGTGTTGACTCGAAGCATGGCATTGTCAGTTCTGGTGATTTAACGGTCATTGGGAATTGATCCGAAAGCGGTGTTGTGGGACCCATTGGCGTGTGTTGAACAGGACCGTATCGCTGAGGAGGTAAGGTGTCTACGTTGGCATTATTGATTATCTCCGACAATGCGGGATGTGATGCTCGGGGTCGTGGTGTGTGCAGGGAGTCCTCATGTAATGATGACCTTGAGGAGAATGTCTTCAGGGGTCGAGAAATCGTTGACGCGGGGACTGGAATCTGACTTTCTCGTATAGGAGAAGCTTTGGGCGGATACCATTCTCTTGGTGGGAGAATTATATCCTCCTTGTTGTCCGTCTTCTCCTCTAGTCTTCGCGCGAAGCTTGCTCCTGTTTCCTGCGACCTCTTCAAGTCCTCGATCTGCTTCTTGTACTTTTCTACCTCTTGTGCATGCTCGAGGTCTTTCTTCTGTAATGCCTGCTGGAGCTCTTTGACAGTGAAATCGGAGCCACGCACTGACGCAAGTTCCTTCCTCAGATCAACTATCTGCTCTTGACGCTTCTTCAGGAGTTGCTCTGCATCTCGACGACTTGACTTGGCTTGCTCTTTCAACTGGTCATAATCTCTCTGCAAATTCTGGATTGCCTCGTCTTTCTTTAGCTTGTGCTCATCCGATTGATGATCCTTCGCTTCGCATTTCTCAAGATGCGTCGCAAGACGTAAATCCGAATGGAGTAGTTCCTGGGTCAATTTGGTGTTCTCAGCTTCAAGCTTTGTTGAAGCTTTCTTTGCATCAGACAGGGCTTGATGCAGCGATTGCAATTCTTCTCGAAAAGCAGCCATGTCTTTCAACTGAGCTCTCGCCTTTCTGAGTTCGCGGCGAGTATCAAGAATTGTTTGTTCCGTCCGTGGCGAAGCAAACCCCGTCTCTCCCTTGCTGGCCCCTTTCTGAGGGCTGATCTCAATGCCATTTTCTTCTAATGCAACTCGGAACTCTTCAACCTGACCTTTGTATTGCACCGCCAGAGCAGTTTGTCTGGCGAGCTCTTTGATCAAAACCGGCGCGTCGTCATCTCGTCCCTCTCGTCCCAGTCTTGCGATCTTGAAGGATAATTTCGATATTTTGTTTTCCATCTCAATCACTTTAGCTTGCTCTTCTTTCAGCTTCACTGCAAGATTCATAGCCTGTGCATCTTTGGAATGAGCATACGATTTGGCCAGATTCTTGTAGTTGGTTAGCTTGGTGATCTCAACACGAATATCCTCCTGATAGCGTTCGTATTCTGATTTCCAAAACTTGCCAGACTTAGAGTGTGGTTCGTTCAGGTCCACCGTCATGTCGCTATCGACTCCAGCCTCTTTGGTTGGTTCCTTCAGGAAATCTTGACTGTCAACTTCAGGCTTCAGTGATTGGCTCGACACTGTTGTATGGGGGATTTCCTCTTTTGGTGCAGGCTGAGGTGCCGCTTCAGAGTCCGATGATCGTCGCCTGACCTCCAAACGGCTTTTTTCAGACTTCTGTCCTCGAGCATCCTCCAAAGCTTGTGTCAAAGACGTTCTTCGTCTCGCCTTTCGCGCTTCGCTCTTTGGAATCCAAGGACTTGGGAACTTTCCGGGGCAATCATCTGGTATTCCACTTTTGCTGCTAGGTTTCACACGAGTTTTACTCTCGTTCTCCTGGTCCGCAACTTCATGGTCGAAAGATACCGTCTTGCGTCGACCCATTGCCGTACCCGGTGTCAAAAGAATACCAGACGGCTTGGTCGGAGACATGCTTCGTGCCTGCGAACTTCTATCATCCTTTGGCATTGTCCTGTCGAGGTCGTCGTAGATAGTATCGTCAGGACGAGCTGGCGTACCAAATATAGCACTCTTCAAGGCCCGGGCAGCGAAAACTGGGGCTGGAGTTTCTGGTGCATCCAGTAACTCTGCATTTTCATCTAGTTCTTGTTAGCAAAATAATGTATATGGAAGCTGTTACCAACCTTCAACGCGGTTCCTCCCCGCAGGCTTTCCCAACCACCAATTGAGCATTTTTGTAGAATGTTGTCGCAGGCTTTTCAAAATCGAGAAATTGACAGCTCACGGTAGAGCCAGAGTCAATTGTTTTGGGACAGATTGTGCCGATTTTGTTCCCATAAAGTAATATCTGAGTATTGACATTCTCGAACTTTGTTTACTTTGCGAAATCGCGACACCCCTGCAAGTCAAACATGGCAAGTGCGGGTCTCTCCCGCTTTTAGCGCCATCGCGGAACGAAGCTACCGGCGCGAGATCTCGAGCGCGTTTAAATTGATTTTTGGAGTTGCAGTCTCGAAATTGTTTCCTCTAGGTATGTATTATAGTGATAGGCTACTTCTCCTGATTTTTGCTACAAATTTGGCTAATTGAGCATCCAGATTTTTCTCTTTACAAAATGCCAAAGAGGCGGAAGACAGTCGACGAAGATGAGGCGCAAGTTGATCAAGGAGAAGAGGAACTTGCACCCAAGAAGAGTCGTTCTAGTCTAGGGAAATCCGAAAATGGTACTCCGATAAAGACCAATTCTTCGAAAAGACGCTCTCTACATAGCCAGATCGTAGCAGATGAAGACGAAGCCTCTGAGTCTAGAGAAGACATCGAAGCCGCCGAGGAGACGAATGATCTCTCAGAGGGCGATGAGCTCGCAGAGGAAGAAGTTCAGGTCACACCCAGCAATCATACTACTAGCCCGCATCGACGGAACGGAAACCATCCAATTTCAAGGACGCCCTCGAAAGGCTTGCTTAACAAGAAGCTATTCTCGACTCCAACGAAGAATACGGATACAACGGATGTCAATGATACTCCACGTATCACAAGAAACGCCGACCGATCTGCCAGGAAGAAGAGTACGAGAAATCTAATCGAGAGGACAATTCTGGGTAATACTAGTGAGAATGATGAGGAAGAAGATGAATTGGCAGGACATATATATGGCTCAGATGATGAGGACGATCTTGGAGAAGACGCAGACGGGTTACCCGATGACTCCAATGCTCCTGCTACTCCATCGAAACGTGGAAGGGCCAAAGGTTCTAAGAATCGACGCCGCTCACCCACACCACCTGAAAATCTAGCACCCCACGAGAAGTACTTCATCCACAATCGAGGTGGTCGCGCCAAAACCTCCAATAATAATTTGTCCTCTCTAGCATTACTCGACCATGAAGAGTATTTCGGCCTTGCCCGCGATATGAAAGATTCACATGCAGATAGGATCAAGTTTCTTGAAGAATTACATGCAGAAGATTTCAAACAATGGCAATTTGAGTTGAGCCAAAACTTCAATATCTGTGTATATGGCTGGGGATCTAAAAAGTCTCTACTCATGCAATTTGCAGACCGCACTTACAACTCTCAGGCGGATCATTCCAAGTCAAAAATAATAGTTGTCAATGGCTATGTCCACAATCTTACTGTCAAGGATGTCCTCAATACGGTTGCACTAGCAGTAGCTGAGCGCGGTACCAAGCTTGGCGCTCAACCAGCAGAGATGCTCGAAAATCTTATTGCACTACTTGAAGATGACAAAGATCAACGAATCACTTTGATCATACATTCAATTGATCGTCCACCACTTCGAAAATCTGCAACTCAGACAGTACTTTCACGTCTAAGCGCTCATCCCCAAGTCCAAATGGTAGCCTCCGCGGACCATCCTTCCTTTCCTCTGCTATGGGACAGCTCTCTCCGGTCCACGTACAATTTCCTCTTTCATGATTGTACAACGTTCAAACCTTACACGAACGAGATTGATGTCGTCGATGAGGTTCACGAGCTTCTCGGAAGGAGTGGACGACGAGTCGGTGGAAAGGAGGGAGTAAGCTTCGTTCTTAAGAGCTTACCAGAAAATGCAAAGAACCTCTTTAGAGTTTTGATCGGGGAGCAGCTGGCAGCTATGGAAGGTGGCTCTGGGGCTGCTGCCGATGGTGACGAAGACGACGATTATGAGAAACAACCGACCAAATTTAGGAACAATGATGCCGGTGTCGAATATCGGGTTCTGTACAAGAAAGTGGTTGAGGAATTCATTTGCAGCAACGACATGGCTTTCAGGACGTTGCTCAAGGAGTGAGTAATGTTCCTTTGAATTATGAGTGATCCACTAATTGCCACAGATTTCACGACCATCAAATGATACAGAGTAGAAAGGACGCACTAGGCACAGAGATGCTTTGGGTCCCATTTCGAAAGGAGGAGTTGGAGACTATTTTGGAGGATATCATGTCCTAAGTGGCTGATGGAATTCTCCTGGTGCATTGTAAAAATGTTTTATTTTTCATGAGCGAGGCGCTGGAGGCTGCGTAGGCATCTAGGCATTTCCGACACATAGATATCGATGACTTTAGAACTACACACGGACACAGTAATTTGCTCCTATCTTTGATCTTATTCTGTCTTTCTACAGCTCTCATAATAAGCGTATGCGGAGCTCATGACCTACATGCTACTGGGTAGTTCCCAAACCACACGCTCTTCCGTTTTTCAAAATAAGCTAGAACTGGTACCTTCTGTGGTGTTGGAAGTTCCAATAAGTCTCTACTTTTGAATTTCTGGCTGCGAGCTACCTTAGCCCTGCGAAGCAAGTGATCTATACCTCGAAGTCAGGCAAGCAACCACGACATTCAAACTCAGTTCACGTGAACACCTTAATTTCTTTTGTTGCACATCGCAAGGGCACTAGTGAGCAACAACCCTTATTGAAAAGGCGTGTTTTTCAACCCCCAACTCGCGATTCAGCAACAACTATTAAGTCACTCCTCAAACCGAGCGATCAAACCCTGCTTTTGTACTCTCGTTTGCGATTCCCGGTCTCGGATTGAAATTTGGATAATTTGGTCAAGAGATATTCTTGTTTTAGTGTTCATTTTTGAGAAATTTGAGCGATTTGAGCTGAAGGTGAGGCTGTTGAGAATCTCAACTAGTGCAGACGCGCTCCACGTCTATACAAAAGAGCCACCATCTGCAACACGACATCAACCCTGAGTAGGCAGTTCACCAATCAAAGCCAGACGCGACCTTACAGCTCTCCCCAATATCCTTGAGATGCAAGTTCTTGGTAAGGATATACAGTATTGGGCATCACTTTTCTTCCCAGCTTAGTAGAATTCGTCCCCACCAGTTTTCCTTTCGTTTCCATTTCAATTACATCTACATGGTTTTTTACAATGGCATTCTCCAAACCCCAGTAATCCACATCAGTCATCTTTCTAATTATAGGACTAAGTCAAGGTAAATGTGGCGATGATAATATTGATTGGTGCTTCGAGTAGGATATCCCCTCTCCGGCATGTCGAAGCGTACACTCCCATTTAGTCACCTCCAATCAAAAGGACGTATCCATATAGTGTGCTATTAGGATTAATTACATCTAACGCGGAGACTTTTGGCAGCTCATGAGGCCCTGAAGGTCATGCGAAGAAAGTTTTGACTAAAGCTATGAACAAAATAGTCTCGAGTAATAGAAAGGGACGTATTTAATTAGAAATCTAAGCAAAATTGCACAGAGCTTAGTAATAGGAAATATATAAAACATGGTTGAAATCCATGATATCAACCAGTAGACGTATGCGAATCGTTGAAAGATTGTGGCTGAAGACGCTAGTGAATTTTAGCGTCAGCCGCTCGTGGCGTTCAGCCTTAAACTTTTTGATCTTGAACTTCCCTTGATCGCGACTCATCCTTGCGAACAACGACAACATGGCCGACGTCGAAACAGCACAGCTTGAAACAATGGCACCGCATGATGGCGAAGGAGACGATGTATCTACGGCCCTCACGACGACCAATACCGAGGTCGCAGCACCTGGAGAAAGGAAAGTGAAGAAGATCATTCGCAAGAAGAAGCGCCCCGCGCGACCCCAAGTCGATCCTTCGACCATGAAATCAGAACCTCCTCCGCAGACTGGCACGATCTTCAATATATGGTATAACAAGTGGTCGGGTGGCGATCGCGAGGACAAGTACCTGAGCAAGACGGCCGCTGCAGGACGTTGCAACATCGCCAAAGACACTGGCTACACGAAAGGCGACAAAGTCACAGGAAGCTATTTCTGCCTCTTTTTTGCGCGTGGCATCTGGTAAGTCTATCTCCATGTTCAATTGCCCTGTTTTCTCTGGGCCCTCCGCAGGTGGAAGCTGTCGGGAGCCAAGATCGATGGCAAACGGATGGCGTTCATTTACAGCTCTTAAAGTGCTCTCAGCTGCCAGAACTCCCAGATCACTTATGGATATGCTCATGTACTAACTCGCTGGGCAGTCCAAAAGGTCACGAATGTGAATATCTTCACAGATTACCCGGTATCCATGATATGTTCAACCCGAACGTCGATGTATTTGGCAGAGACAAACATTCGGATTACAGAGATGATATGGGAGGTGTTGGAAGCTTCATGAGACAGAATCGCACAATCTATGTTGGTAGGATACATGTCACAGATGACATTGAGGAAGTGGTTGCCAGACATTTCGCAGAATGGGGCCAGGTTGAGCGGAGTAAGTAGCTCATTTCTCCCTCTGAACTGCAAGAGCTAAAATAAGCCAGTACGTGTCTTGAACACCAGAGGTGTTGCTTTTATCACATACTCGAATGAAGCGAATGCACAATTCGCCAAGGAAGCAATGGCACATCAGTCGTTAGATCATAGCGAGATCTTGAACGTGCGATGGGCTACCGCAGATCCAAATCCCATGGCTCAGAAACGAGAAGTCAGGAGAATTGAGGAACAGGCAGCGGAAGCAGTACGGAGAGCATTGCCCGCCGAGTTCGTGGCTGAGATTGAAGGTCGCGATCCTGAAGCTCGAAAACGGAAGAGAATCGAAGGTGGATTTGGTCTGGCAGGATATGAAGCTCCTGATGATATCTATTATGCGAGGGGTGCAAATGCTGTTAATCCAGTAGGGAGGCAAGGTCTTGAGCTCGAGGAGGAGCAAAGGTTAATGATCGAGGCTGATCAAGTGGAGAGGGAAGAAGCTGAAGAAAGTGGGATCTTCTCAAGCAGTACGCTCGCTGCATTAAAGGGTGCCCAGGCTTCTGTGGCACCAAAACCAGCACCGAAGGCATCTTCGGGACCTCTGGTGGCTTACGATAGTGACAGTGATTGAGGAGCATAGTCTGGCGTTGGTGGACATATTTGAATTGTGGTATTATTGGAAATCACCTCGTGGAAGAACCCATAGATATGGGAAGTAAAAAGCGGCCTTTGCCAAAGCCAGCTTCAGAGCTGCGCGAACAAAACTTAGCTGTTAAATATTCTCGAATACAGCATCTCATGCCTTCCAATCCATAGATCCATGACTGGTACGCTCTGGCCAGCATCTTCAATCTTGGTGTTCCACTGCTGATCTATAACTGCTTGTATACCTTCCTGTACCTCTACGCTAGCTAACAGTTTCTGGGCATGATATGGTCCAAATATGCTTGCTCGTACAGCTGCTGACAACAGTGCTTTTACATGACTTAACATGAAGACGTATGCAGTCTGCTGCAAGCTCATTCCCAACAAACATGCGATCGTGCCGAACAAGGGTCCAAGATGGGCAGAGGCTGGAGGCAGGTCGCTGGACTCTTTGGAGGAAGCAGATTTCATTAAACCCGCAATTCCCTTCAATGACTCGACAGCAGCACCTGAAGCTCCAGGCGGAAGCGCAGAGCTAAATGATCGGTCCCAAATCGAAAGCAAAGCTCTTCCTTGCGCAACAGATGCTCGCCGTCCAACTGTACACATAATCGCAGCATCGAGGGCATCGTCGAGGTCTAAAAGATCTTCTGGCTTTCGATAAGCAGCAAGAACAAAAGGCAGCGTGGTTGAGGCATATGAGGACAAGGAGAACTCCAAGAATGCGGGGAAGGAGGAGCTTGGACGAGAATGTGCGAGGTAGGATTCAAGACCGCTGCTGAAGGCGAAGGATCCTAAAGGAAGAGCCGAGTCCGAAAGCAGCAGGAGAAAATGATGAGACGAGGCTGAGAACGGTCCTGCAGATTGTCAGCAAGACATTGAAGCAGGAATCCCATGAACCTTACCATCACTGCGCAGGACTTTGGAGGGGGCATTGGAATCTGCTTCCTCGCGGTCTTCGATGCTGTTCAATCGCGCATTGGCATCTCGCAGACGCTTCTCGAGATCTGCGATCTCATGGCGGATGGCCTGCGACTCCGGGGAATCGGCCAGAGAATTGCTCATCGAGGCAGCATGGTATTGTGGCACAAGGTCAGGGAGTGAGTGGTTGTCGATCAAAAAATCTGGGAATGGAGCGGCGGCCGTGTTTAGCGAGGCACTCTTCACTTCCCCGGGAACCTCAAACAACATCCGATCATCACCACAAGGCTCTCCTGTCGCAAATCTCAGATGAAAGAACGTTGGTGATTCGACGTTGGACCCAGAGTTGGTGACATCTGCCGCAGAAGGGGCTTAGCAATCCTGGATCACTGCAGAAGGAGCGCCAACCGTGACAGGCCTCGAGAGTTCAGGCCCCAGCTGGTTCTCATTTGCTGAAAAGTCCGTTGTCCAAGGTGTGTCCATTTTAGGAGTTGCCCCCTTTGGGGGCATTGAATCGAGCAGTTTCTCGAGATTGCCCCGCACCAGGTTACATTCTCGTGTATATCTCGTGTTTGTATCTCTGCTTTTATCCGTGCTTAGGCAGCAATTTAAGGTTATTTCAAGCGAAAAGGGGAGTTTCTCTCGACGACGTGTACCTAAGTAGTCTCCCGTTTAGCAAACAACAAACATTGCAATGTGTGAAACGTATATGAGCGATCCATAGTAAGCGCTCACGATAATAATCTTCCGATACCATGTCCAACAAGTTTGTTGTGGTCGACAAGACTGCGGACCGGCAAGAGACCATGAAACGCTGTGCCGCGATCCTTTTACCCCAGGGCAGTGTTACCAAACGCCAACTGAACTTCTCTTTTCTGCACTTCTGAGTGGTTAACATGAGCCGAGATTGGTTGGTGCCTTAGTATAGTCTGAAGGCAGAGCTGGCCTGTTCAATGTTGGGAGAAGTCCTCTTCCTTGTCGATCTATTAATTGAGTCACAGCCTCAGAGCTGCCTGTTGGTACTGGCATATATAGTGGTGGGACTTCGTCCCAGGCAAAATTTGGCATTCTCCACTTCGCAATCAAAATCTAAGTCAATATCTTCAATCACACGCGTATATACATATAGATATATGCTTTCCTCGCAGCCATGCTTGTCTCTCTGATCCTTCGAGTCTGCCAGGTTTGTCTCCCCTAACACATCCAAATTTTGCTCAAGACTGACAACAGATTCTGTTTAGCTTCTATTCGCTGCTGTTGTTTTGGCATTGTCTGTCGTCCTCGTTCATGGCTATGGCCCAGGTCACGCTCCCTCATTGCTAGATTATGGAGTATTCTGCGGTGCTGGTGCCCTCATTTTCGCGGCCGTTGGCGTTTTAGCCCTGTTCTTGGAACCTTTGCAAGGAATTATCATGCTAGCTCTTGATGGAGTCGCCTCGTTCTTCCTTCTCGCAGGTGCTGCTGTAAGTCTTACTTTCTTCCCTTCGAAAATAATGGTGGCAATAGCTGACTGCCCTCTCAGGCATTCTCGGCAAAGATCAGGAGTGGCAGCTGTACGAATGGCTACTACATTGCCGATATCCTCGGCACCATTAATACAAGTCCTTATAAATTCTACGCCGGTAATGGAGACCAACAAATTGAGAACGCTGCTAAGGATCTCGAAAATCGATGCCGAATAGCGCAAACCGACGAAGCTTTCCTATGGATTGTTGTTATCTGTTTCATCGCGACAGCTGTGCTTGGGTTCCTTGGCAAGTCTGGAAAGAGAGGTGCGACGTATTAGGATAACAACTTTCATCTGGATTGGAAAGCTAAGGCCAGGAAATCTTGGAGGATTATTTCGATTTGTTTCGGCATGCTATGAACGACGGCTATTTATGATCTCATGTTTGAGCGTCTTTCGTTTTGTATCCTAATACCCATCGCTATTGTCTGGCAGACTATATGTAATAGAGGACTCACAGCTATTGAAATTGCTTCAGCTGAGTATTTTGTCTACATTATGGATATTTATACACTATTGTGCATCTAAGCCAGTGCTTCAAGTCAAAAATTTATATCAAAATCCCGTGGTATCTTCTACAATAGGCATACCATCCGGCAGAACTTAACTCCGGTCACTCTCTCCAAATCCGTGCAAGCGTTGTGCTAAATTTATCATGCTCATTCTTCTCGCTTCTGCATCATGTTTGTTGCTTGCTCCGTCATCCGGCCGAACGTCAATCCCTAAAATGGTGACCGCGACCAGACTCGATATCATAGTACGAAAATTGCTGGAGGTTTCATGACGGTCTCCCAATTAATCCGACTCTGACGGTCTTGGCATGCTTATTTCTGACGAACGCCGCTAGTCAGGGCTGAAGTTCAGGACCCAAAAACCTTGTCGCATGGAGTAGCCAATCAACATCGGCGAGTCAACAATTACTAAACTTCGTTGCGAAGTCGAATAGCTTTATATATATCCGTCTGTCTCATTCATTCACAGAAGAAAGAAAACCCATCAAGTATATATCATACTTGTCTCGGAATCCAGAAGCTGTACTTTCTTCTCCAATTACTTAAAAGGCTATCAACCCTCCATTCCACACTTTGCCCATCTGATCCCTCTCCTATCATTACTTATAACTTCATTTGCTTCTCAAGTCAACATGTCGGCGGCACTATGGCGAACTATACCTCAGTTGTTCCCTGGAAAGCCCACCTTCACAGAAGCAGACATCCCAGAACAACATGGAAAGGTTATCATAGTAACAGGCGGTAATGCAGGCCTAGGATATCATCTTTGCAAGATCCTGTACGAGAGAGGAGCTAAAGTCTACATGCTCAGTCGCTCGCAATCCAAAGCTGAAGAAGCCATTACCAAAATCAAAACCGAAGTCACAAAATCTCCTGGCGACCTGAAATACATCCATATCGATCTCGCTGACATGACCACGATCAAACCAGCAGTCCAAGCATTCGCTGCCCAGGAAACTAAGCTCGACATCCTGTTCAACAATGCTGGAATCGGAGCAGCGCCGGATGGAAGTAAGACAAAACAAGGCTTTGAACTGTTGATGGGCACCAACGCCATCGCTCCCTTCCTCCTTACTCAACTCTTACTCTCATATCTTCAAACCGCAGCAAAGACCGCCCCAAAAAACTGCGTGCGTGTTGTTTGGACCGCTTCCCCCATCATTGAAGACTCGTATGTTCCAGCCGGCGGCCTCACCGTTTCACATCTCGAATCCCCGCACCTCAGCAACTTCAACAATTACGCGCTCTCAAAAACAGCAAATTGGTATTTGGCATCCGAGCTCGCCCATCGTGTGCAGAAAGATGGGATTGTGAGCGTAGTCCAGAACCCGGGGAACTTGAAGACTGCTGTTTGGTAAGTCTCGTCTTCTCAATGATTTACTTGCTACGTCGTGCGATATCCAGAGTTGGCGCTCGAGATACACTTCTCAGACATTCATATCTACCCTCGAGATATATGGAACGGTATACTAACGGCAAGATCTCCATATTAGGGATCCTGCTCCGTGGTGGATTAGGAAACTGATGAGCATCACAATGCATCCACCAATTTACGGAGCGTATACCAATCTCTGGGCCGGAGTAAGCGAGAACGTGACGCTGGAGGATGGAGTGCAGGGCAAGTATGTTGTTCCGTGGGGGCAGTGGCATTCTACGCCCAGGAAAGATCTCTTGGATGCTTTGAAGGGTGAAGGAGAGGGTGGAACGGGGCATGCTGGGAAAGTTTGGGCTTGGTGTGAGGAGAAGACGAGGGTTTGGGCTTGAGATGAGAGTCCTGTTTTGATATTGAGGTCTTTCTCCTTCATTTTTCAGACTTTGGGGACTTCACTTGAATAGTTTTGCTGTCAACTTTTTGGTTTAGCTGCATTTCATGTCTTAATTAGACAAACGGGCTCTTCTACTGTCAGAGACAACTCCATTCCAAATCATACTGGTTCCACTTCAGTCCCAAATCTCCGACGCATCTCGAGGGTTTGAGATAGCAGCATCGACTTCAGAAGTTCATCAAATATGCCATCAGACCTGACAATAATCTTGAGACTGTGAGAGAAGACTGTTTCTTGCACACACAGCCTCTGATGGTAACAAGGTAGGACTTGCTTGTACATATCTGAGACTGGCGCATGCATCAAAGAATACTTCTTTCAGGCGAAACGAAAACAAAATTATTGAGACCATAGTGCGAGCCTTGACTTGATACTCCTCGCTTTCTCAATGAAATGGGAGGAAAGCGAGGCTATGATACATGGGTGAGAGTGTCTCCAGCCTTGTAGCGTCCTCAAGCTTGTAAGGACATGAAAGGCTGTTGTGGCTTACCGACCACATTGAAAATCTGGTTGATTGCCACACATAGGCATGGTAGCTCGCTTTCAATCGGAACGATGCCTGATACCGAACACCAAGTTCTTGGAATGCTGCCCAACTCTCGAACATCGTGGTTGGTGGCTCGCTCGCCCTTTTTGGGGTATCCTTTCAGAGACCATTCAGCCTCACGATATTATTCATTGAAACGCATCATATCTCTCACCAAGAGATATGGTCGGGAGAGCCTGATAGTTGAAGTTGTAGAGAAAGCTTGCAGAAGGGCACCAATGATTCCATTTGTCTCCAAAGAAGAACAGCCACTGCATCAAGCTCCGATCTACCACTGATCACTCAGCCCTATTTCGCAGCCCTCATCCATCCATAATACCTACTCGGCCAACCGGGCCGCGAATCCATTCCAGAGACCGTGATCTTACCCGACTTCTATTGAATCAGGCATCCTTTACCCAGCATGTGAGCACACGATATAAGCAGGGCGCGGGTGACGCCCGGAATATGTGCCTTTTCCAAGAGAATCCGGTCTTGGTGTGGTGGATCTTAGAATTCCTACAAGATCGTGAAATATTTTAGAATGCTGCAGTAAGGCACAGCTCCAAGGCAGATCGGCTGGATTTCAAGTGAGGGACGCTGGCATGGGCAACCAAGATGTGCAATTCTATAAACACGCAGAATTCTGACGGGGAACTTTCCACCTACAGCAACTTTCTGTCGACAACTACTAAACCGAGCAGTGCATTGGAGAATTCCAGTTTAGCCATTGTACTCCCTTTAGCTTGATTCTGAAAAACAAAGAGGGCAGATCACCAGCCTCACCATCGATTCTTCAGACGCAGTGATACTGGCATGCAAGGCTGGCATCATGACTTCTGAAGCTCGCACTTCAAATTCCTCTCTCCAATCCCCAGACATTTCCACTAGCAGCGTAGCCAGCGGCATAACACTTGTCAACGTGCAGCAGGCCTCGAATGAGGATGGAAGTGCAGCTAGGACGGACTCCAATAGATGCAACTCACAGCTCACACCTACCAGTGCGGCAGCTACTTCCCCGGTCGCAAGTCCAGGTGCAGAGCAGCGAAATAGGAAGCCCCTGTCTTTCAGCATGAACTCCTTGATCAAATGTTTCTTTTCAAAGGAGATCAAGATGAATGTGGCGACTTTGACGAGTGTTACTCTAGCGGTTCTGGCAGTAGTGTATACCATTTTGTCAGACAACGTCGGACAGAAGCAGCTTGACCTTGGGATGTGGGTGTTCTGCAAATCATATCCTGATGACCCCGTCAGTATTCTTGACTGATCACCCTCAAACAGAGGAACATCAATGATCTGCTAAGAAGCTGACCAGATCTAGCAAGTCCAAAACTCAACCGCCTGCCAGATGTACTCTCAGAAAAAATCTTTGGATGATCTACGAAGGCGGGATAGGACTACACTATCAGAAGCTCCAATCCAGATCCTCGACTCTGTCCCGGACTGGCTTAGTGTTCCCAGTAGGATCGATAGACATTCTTGCCAAGTGGTTTGCTGGAATTCGGCATCGTCTCATACGCATGTAGCACTGGCCTCAACGGGCGTATCCAGATCGTACCTAAATACTGTAGATTCGATTCGATCCATGTTGTTTGAGTCAGTAATTCCTCGACTCCGGATAACGGTGGACTCTTTGCTGAAGTGTTACGTGGAAAATCGGGACAAGATTAGTTCCCTGGTTATCGAGTCTGTAATTCCTCAGCTGAAAGTGGCAATTGGTTCCCCGACATTGTCCTACGCCGCGATTACTCGTTCGCTTCGGTCTTTCATATTGGATTCAGTAATTCCCCAGCTTAGAAAACTGACTGCCTCCCAGAATTTCTCCTACATGGAAGTTCTGGAATCGGTCCGCTCCCTCATATTTGTTGACTCGATTCGTTCTCTCGTAATTGACCCGGGATTCCCTCAGCTTGCAATCGCACTTGGATGGCCAAAGCTCTCTTTCACTGAGGTCGGAAACTCGATTCGGTCCCAGATACTGGATCCAACTCTGAGGAAATATATCGTTATTGATGTCATCTTATGGCTCGGTCTGAAGGCACTTGCTCCAGGAGTGGTTTTGGTGACTCAGCTCATCTATCAGTATGGCATGTTGCTGGTAAAGATTCTGTGTCGTCCCGCTATCAGGGTAAGTTGATAATTCTGCCCCATCTGGTGTCAGCAAAATACTCATACATTTCGACAGCTTATTATAATGGCTGCAGCAGCGTAAGATCCTCTAGAACTCACCAGCATTCTGATTCTCTGCTAATTCCAATGATTGTCAGATATCTGACGATACTTGTGGTCTTCAACAACGAACCCCTTTTGAGTTGATTCACCAGGTCTGGCTTGAGTCTGAGCTCCATGTGCACGCAATGGAAGGAGATAGGATAATGAATCGCTAGAGTACCTAGAAAAGGTTAATGACATAGGCAAAGTGAGATTTAATGCTTAACAGAGAAATAAAATTGAACCAAAAGTGTTACCAAATTTAGCAAAGGTAGTTAAGTCCCGAGTCTTGTGAGGCGCATTGCATTAATAAGCACCTCGGCCAAATTGTCCGAGGACGACTCCGTTCAGTCCTACCGTCAATAAACTCTCAACCATGACTTCGTCCAAATTACAGATCAAATCAAAATAACATACACCAAAATGGAGACCCCTGACTCTGCAGCAGCAATGCCAACTCCAGTCACCACGCTCTTGCTTTGCGAATTGTGCGACAAGCCCTTCACTAAAGGTGGGTCATTGCGCGCTCATTGGCTCGTCACATGTTCACCCTACTAACTCGATTGGTGTACAAAAGAACTACAATACAAAAGACATACGGCATATTGTCGAAAATCCCAAGGCCGGAAGCGACCAAGGTCTTGCCGAGCTTGTAACCAATCCAAGATCAAATGCAACTCCGGTGCTCCTTGTCATCAGTGTATTCGGAAGGGAGTAAAGTGTACATTTGATGGAGCAAATAAGAAGATTTCGGAAGTGGCTATGGCTACTGCTATGCCTGAAACAACTCCGATTCCTTCAGACCTAAAGTTGATCTTGCCGGATCTGGAAGCAGAAGTACTAGATCATAGCCTAGAAAATGATGACCTGCTTAGTCGAATCGATGGCTCCGAGACAGTTGGGTTTGCTGCAATACCAGAGTCACAGTATTTTTCAAACAACAAAGTTGGCCCTGGCCCCGCGAATAGAATGAGCTGGAATGACTTGCCTGAGAGGGCCCCATTTGCAACAACGGCTACGCTTGCAAGGACAACACCATCGAAAGAAGATGACTTCATGACGCTGTTCAACAACACTTACAACAACGCTACTACTAACAAATTCAACAATGACTTCAACTATCATATGGACGACTCTAGCTACTACTTCACTGGAGAAGAACTAACATTCTCACCTACTCTACCTCCAACCACCATAGCAACATCAACAAGAGAGGATTCGCCATCAACAGAAGTAGTCAATCGCAAGCCCTTCACTAAGAACTATGTCGAATCGGCCATTCAACAGACATGCGCAACTATGATCATTGAGATGATCTTCGCGTACCCTCGAATGATGACACGCCGCGAGACTCTTCCACCCTTTATGCATGCATTTTCACCAGCCGACGATACCGACAATGCCCAAAACAAGCTACCTGGCCATCTAGTCAATTGTATGGCAATTGCGCAGCTGTTTGCAGTACGAACTGCCGACACGCAATCATTTGTTGGGACAACCATTCAAGCAGAGATAAGAGGCTTCAGGAGCCGTCTGAGTACGTTCAATGCGTATGACTCAATGAGTGCGCTGCAAGCATGTCTGCTGTATCTGGTTATACGAGCAGTGGAAGATGCTCCCCAAGAGGCGAAAGATGACATTGAAATGTTGTTAATTTATGATGTATATTCTTCACTTTCCCGTCTGGATCGGGCTGTGCTGACAGCTACAGAATGTATGCCAGCGTGCTATGGAAACGGTCCAAGGATCTTGTCAAACAACAAATAATAGCCCAGACCTGCGTTGGAAAGATTGGATCTTTATGGAATCTATACGACGGTATGTGAAAACCCAAACATGACTATAATATCCCATCTGACGATAATATTTGCAGGATTGGGTGTGTCTGGTTCGTGTTAGGCCTTGTCTTTCACATCCGAACCGGCAAGCCATGCTTCCTCACTGATCACTACCGAGAAATTTTGCTGCCTTGCACAAAATCCGAATGGGAAGCCAAAACAGAAGGAGAATGGAAGAAGGAGAATGAAATTGCCGCAGCTAGTAATGGTACTGCTTTGCAGACTTTCGGTGATTTGATAGACGCCCATCGACACTTGCCGGGCTCTCAAATGTTCGACAAATTGGCTAGGTGGAACGCCGGCGTTGATAACTTGGGGGTAATGCTTAATTTGGCTGTGCGTATGGTTTGATAATCTCTGCTAGAGACTACCACCATGTCTCTGAAACATAATAATATACCCTTGATGCATTGGCTCTGAGGACACAGCATCTGTTCACCAAGATATACTTCCATCTTTGTCCGAGAACGTTCCTGTAACGTCACTGTCCTTTCCCGTCAAAGTCGCCAACTCCACAATCCTCTGAGCTCCAATCTCCGTTGTGGTCCCATAAGCTATGTAACCTGTTAGGTTCGTTGCCACGAGACCTGGACACACAGAATTCACTCGAGCCTCTTTGTTGGCGAGGATTCTCGAGTAATTTGCTGTCAATATGTTGACAGCTGCCTTACTAGCATCGTAGGCTTTGTAATCAGTTGCATACCAAGGTCTGCTGGAATCGAGACTCTCAGCCAAGGAGCCCATGCGAGATGAAACGAATAGGACACGTGGTCGTTGGGCGGACTTGCGAAGTAGAGGCAATAAGGACTCAGTCAAGCATGCTGTGCCCGTCACATTGGTTGAGAGGGTGACATCGAACAGCTCTCGAGTGGTCAACTCGCGACGGTCGTACAAGATGCCCGCATTGTTGACAAGGACGTCCAAGTGGCCGTAGGTCTTGGCGAGGTAGGTCGTGGCGGCGGCAATAGATTCGTCGGATTGAAGGTCCAATTGAACTGTGTCGGCCGAGAACCCTTCGGATTTGATTTGGTTGGCGACCTTCTCTCCATTCTCGATGTTGCGAGACCCGATGATAACGTGGTAATTGTGCTCTTTGGCAAGACGTAGGGCGGCTGCCGCGCCAATGCCTTGATTTGCGCCGCTGATGAGGGCAATGGTTTTGTTGGTGACAGCCATCTTCTTGAAGTTTTGGAGTTCTTAGAAACTATGGCTTTTGAGTGAGTTTGGGGAAATGATCGGAAGATACGATGAAGTGAAGTGCAATGATAGAATTCTGTTTCAAAGACTGTCTCTTGGGATTGATCGAGCCATTTATACCTCGATGCTCACTGGAGCCATATTCAACAGTATCAAATTTGGCCGATTCAAATCTGGCCGATGCCACTTTGACCGATTGCAGACTATTTCGAAATGACCAAATGGGTTGAAACGAAGTACACTCATCTTTGCACCTTTTTGAGTGGTAATCCACTCCATCTGAAGATCTTGTAAGGTTACAACGCTGTGGCATGGAATTATGTGACCCGTTAGTTCTCATTTGATTCCAAGTATTTTGACAGTGCGGAAAATGAATGAGAGCGACATCGAAAAGCTGAAATGGATCTGTCAATATATACATAGCTTTATGCAGGTGGCAGAAATCGCACAGTAACACATAGCGACAAGAACAAGCATTCGACCTGGATAGATGATGGCAATGAGATCGACGATTGCAGTTGAGGTTTTCTGTGAAGGCCCTCAGCCTAAAACTAGTCTAGTCCCAAAAGGGCAGCACATTTTCACTAAACCCAGCTCAGGGACTGAACAACGTTCGTACCTTCATACATTCGCACCTTCTACGAACTTCACGGTTCATATGCACATGGTTCTGGAGCGTGTTCCTATGCTCGGGCATAACATCATCTGGTCTGGTAAGTTGTAATTGCCGTGTATAATCCTGTCACCCGAAGACATGGCTTGCAAACCCAGTGGCTGAAGTACGGTCTTGGAGCTCGAAATCCAACATCTGTAACGACAGCTTACAAAAGCTCGAACATTGCACATTGCAGACTTGCAATCGCATCTGCGGCTACATTAACTAGCAGGCTGACAGCTTGATCTGGTTTCACCCCATCCGGATGTCTCTTTTCTCTCGAATTGTGGTAAGTCGTTCCAGAAAACACCCCGCTCCCTTTGCTCACGCGATATAGCTTCCCAGTGCACGCATCAATCTGAGAACAAGCCAGCGACTCTACAGACCATTCACCAGCAGTGTATTACGTCTGAACAAATATAATCGCAGCCCACGAAAGACCAATCGATCTCGGTCCCAAGAACAACGAGTCCAACAAGACGTGTCTGACCAATATGACCAAAACAACTTCGAGCCCCCTCCACGGAGGCCCCATGTCAATTCCGGCAAGATTGTCGTGGGAGGCATAATTGCAGCCTGCGCTGGCGTCTACATCTACTCTGTCAATTTGGAGGTGCAAATCAAAAGCAACTTCTCCAACAAAGCCAAAGAGAATATCGAGTGGTTTCGAAAACACTTCGTTATGTCATACGAAAGTATTCAGAACGGACGATACTACACGATTTTGACGTCCGCCTTCAATCATGTCAGCCTAATGCACATAGGATTTAATATGATTGGGCTATGGGGCTTTGGACGCTCGATTATCACCCTGTTTGGTGTACCTACATTTGGAATTATCTTCGTTGGCGCGGCTGTCACCGGTGGTATTGCTCAGTACTCTACTTGGCAGTGCAATAAGGGCTATCACAAGGCAGTTGTTGGAGCATCTGGGGCCGTTTTCGGATTGGTTACCGCCCTAACTTTTGTTATGCCCAGACATTCTATTATACTTGGATTCGTACCAATGCCGATGTGGACTGCTCTTGGCATCTCGGTAGCTGCCAGCATTGCTGGTCTGCAGGGCGTATGGGGACCTCATCTTGGCCATGCTGACCATCTTGGCGGGATGGCTTTTGGCGCTTTGTTTTGGTTGTTGGTGCTGAGGAGACGTCCGCGGGGTTGGATGCCGTATTATCCCTAGGGAAGTTGGAGGCATTATGGAGTCTAGATGCACCAAACTGCTTCTGGCTTTGAACTGTTCCATCAACACATTAATTTCGCCGTCTCTCGGGGCCATATCACTAGTGTGAGCCTTGAATTCGATTGATACCAAAACCCTCATCATTTTCAAAAGCATTACTATTTACTTATGTATCTATATCTGCTTGAATCTTGCATTAGAACTCCAGCTATTGCTGTCGAATCTATGTCATTGTGCCTATCTAACTCTTTCTTACGCCTCTTTCAATAATTTGCACAGGGCGTCACGTTTTGCTGGGACCCCGACAAAAGAAGCAGAGCCACGACCAATCCATAGATACCTGTACCCAGTCAGTCAATTAGTCTGCAGTCCTCCTTTCATTCTCCAGCAACAACAGAACACTCACCCAAAACCTCAGCAAAAATTAGCATCAACATCATCCCAACAAACATCCTTGGCTGCTGCCCAGAAGCCCTCACTCCCGCATCCCCTATAATCCCAATACAAAGCCCCGAACTCAAACAACTCAGCCCGACCGCTATCCCAGCAGCCAACTGCACGAAGTTTGTATGGAGCGCCGATTTCTCCTTCAGCGAGGACGATATCACGACTGCCACGACAAGGCCGTAGATTGCCAGGACACCGGCGAGGATTGGGGGCATGAGATCTGTGCTATTTGAGTATCGGGTATGGGTGGAGAGAGGAGAGGAAACGAACTTCGAATCATCATATCGGGGCGCATTACGCTAACGGCTGAGATTCCGATTCCTGATCTTGCGATTCCGTAGCCTGCTCCTAGGCAAGAGAGGGTCAGGGCTACACAGCAACCCATTGCGCCGAAGAAGGACTGTTTCTTTTGTCAGAGCTTGTCATGGTCGTGGAGAGGGAAGGAAGGTCGAACCGCGTAGACTGGGCTGTATCATGAGGATCGGGTCAGTTTGCAATATTCTGAGTTGGAGAGCTTGGGATGAAAGAGTGCCTACCATCTTCCCATTTCATAGTAATCCATCTTGACAAATTGGGTTGTTTTCAACTCGAGGTCAACTAAAATCTAGCAAAGAAAGAAGAAGAGAAATCCAATTTCAGGTACAGAGTTCTGAGGTCATTGGATCACTTTCTATTCGTCCGTCTTACCAGGACGCCTCAATATATTATATACGCGTGTAGGGAGCCACGTGAGGGACACCAGGCAGCCGAATTTGGCATGTCGTGATTCGGTGGTGAGAGTTGTGCCTGGTCAACTTACACTCGAAGGAAGAAAGATCATTGGTTTTAGGATGAGGGCTGTCTTTTGCCTGCTTCTTATAAGGCATTTGGACTACCGAAAGTCCTGAGATGTCCCACCTAGACAATCATGATCACGGGAAAGATTTCCACGTGATGAAGCCCTCGCGCATTCGCCGTGCCTTTTTAATAAGTTCACATTGCAAATGCGACATCAGCATGCAAGTCACCATCCTCAACAGTAGACCTGCATAGGGGTGGTTACACCCAGTGCCGAGAACAGAACAAAGGAAGCGGCGTATCATCGATGTTGGTGTTTCGACATCCGAACTTGCATGTCGACCAGGTGATTTGAGGTATGATCACCATTTTCTTCAACGCTTGCGAGGTGGTATTGTTGGTATGGTGGTAGTATCCAACAGAGATAATTTCCCAGAATTTGGGTGCTGTGGTACCTTGGTGGTACAATTGAGGATGTTGAGTCTTCTACTTCTTACAGTGCGGGGTTCGTCGGTGTCTTTCTGCTGTTGCTCCTGGAGCTCTCTGCGATGATATATGTCGAATTGTTTTGCGATTCTTTCGTCCTTTGGGTTTTGAAAAATCAAAGATTTGTTGGTGATATCCTCAATCGTTCTCTCCTGCTTCCGATTATCTGTGCAGCATTAATCTTATCGATACCATCGTCCCGCAATGGCCTTCACGCAATGTCCAGGAAGCTCATGGCAAGTACCACCATTTGCGAGCTATGGTTGGGGCCCAACGGATAGTGCAATGCTATCGGCTTGGTCTGCCGCTTGCAATACTCAGCGTTCAGGAAATAGCAGCTCTGCTAGCATCACACAAACGAATTCGATATCGACGACTTCAGCAGTATCGACTTCTACGTCAGCAAACTATAGCTCAACGATCAATGTGTTGGCGATTACGACTCCAAAACCTTCTTTGGGTGGCAATAACACGAGCACGTCCACTGCAACGATCGATTTGACTTCGGGTAGAAACTCCTCGAGCAGTTCCCCAGCTTCGGCACCGATTCCGACCACTAGTTCGAGTGCCGTCCTAGCCGGCACCAAGAACATAAACGCCGTCGTGGGCGGGGTCATTGGAGGACTAGGACTTCTTTGCTTGATTGTATTTGGGGTATTGATACTGCGGAAAGTTCAAAGAAGTGAGGACCGCAAGCCAAAAAGGAATCGATCTTGGTGGCGGTTTCGTCAGAACACGGCCATGCAAACTGGTGGTCTTCATGAGAAGGCTGGAACTGCTTTTTGGAGGTACGAGAAAGATGGACAATCAAAAATCATACATGAAAAGGAAGGTGATGGGCCGAGAAGACAAGCAACTGAACTTTCTGCTGAAACGATCTTTGAGATGGAACAAGACGGATAACTAATTGGGAAGTCGCAATGATCCATGACTTCAAAGACAACAAGTTGACTTTCCTCCTTGATAACAAAGTCCCCAGCGAGCAGCAAATGCAGGAGTGCTCTCACATGTGATACTCCAACACACGTGATTGATGTTTCAGAAACGTTTCTTGGCATGTACAGTTGATCATCCAGGGGATCCCGAAGAAGAAAAACGCAGATGCAGCACTCAACTGGAGACGAACTGGCAGTTCGGTAACTCAGGCTGAAAGCCACCAACAACTTAACATCAGATGGAAGCGGCTCGAAGACAACCTTCAATGATCCGGCCGCTGATACCACAGCCGCGGCTTCGAGACGGTCTCACTGAAATTGGCGGTATCAAGATCTTGTCAATGGAGAGGGGCGTGGTGATGATAATATCATTGCCAATTGATGCCGGAGAATTATGATCTTCGAATCCGAGGACACAGGTAAGAGAAAACTGACTCGGCGTTGAAGCGTCGAAACACTTTTAGATGCCAATATGTGAGAAAGTCCAACAATAGACTGTCGTCTTGTTTGATGTCTCCCAGCGGTCGCTGCTCGCTAAAAAAGCATGATCCAAATTCGGTACCAAAGGCGTCGACTTGAAGCACGTCTGGGAAGTGAAAAAGGGGAATAGTCCGGGTTAGGCTAGCCCCAAACAACCAGCCAGTCGGTGCCGAGCGGGCGGGCATTTCGCAATGTCGAGGCCTCGCAATATCCGATTTCATCTCATCGTCTCCAACTCCATCTCCATCTCCGGACTTCAGGCAATCCGATATGGATCTGTGGTTCACGAGAGAAACATCGTCGTGCGCTCTCATGGCGATGAGACTTCTTACGTACTGTTGGACTCACAGATGACCTGCGCTGACTGGATCAACTGTTCTTCCTCCGCCATCCGACAATCTCCATTGTTCTCGGTCACCCTTTACCAATAGCTCGTACACAGCACCAGATCTCCTTGCGAAACTCATGGCGGTCCAATAGCAAACTGGTCGAGTGCCGAATGCCTCCTGGATTCCCGTTTCGCCCAGACGGGGCTGTTATCGAGGTGTATCATCGTCCTCTTTGCACAGGGGGCCCAGCGTTTCGAATTTCGGTTCAGCCCAGTCAAAGTCATGCTCCCGTTTGCTCTGTCTGATCACCTCCCCAATGGACCTCGACAATGCTCTGGAAATAGCATTTCGCACCACCGGCCGGACTAAGTCCAGGGATTCGTAAGACTATCTCCACTATTGAGGCGCACTGCGACGTCTGCGCACGATGCTCCAGCGGTCTTCTGAGTGGACGATGGGTGGGCGAAGAGAGGATTTGTCTGAGGCCGCGTCACGGTGTGGACCCCTCGACCCCTGGTCGAGCCAAGACATACAAAGCCCTTTCTCCCAGGTGAAGTGTATCGTGTGTCGCGGAGCGTACTCGAAAAGATTCAGATTACTTCATCTTGTGAACCTTTGTACTCAAGATCTTGGATCGTCTTGGCGCCGTTTTGATTGACCAAGAGTTTTCCATTGTCTTTCCTGACATCGCCACATCGAGAACCTCTTCCTTTCTCATCGTCTGTCTATCAGCCTCGCTACCGGTCCTCCTCCTCCCGCCGCAGCACCCCTCCGCCACAACGCAACGACAGCAAATCCTCCAACCTTATAGAGAAGATCGTTCAGGAACATCACTCAGTCTCACTAATCCTCGGAAGGAGTCTCATATTGCGCGTTCGTTCATTCATAATACTGAGACGGATCTCATCCAGAAGTCTCCGAACCATCTTTTCGACCTTTCTGTTTGACCACATACAGCCCATTGTTACATCCCTTGGAAGATCTCCAGCTAGTAATTAGGTCTTCTGTTGTTGGCAAATATCTCGGGTGACTGCACCGAGTCTCTGGAAAGCGGCTTTTAGATCGGAAGCTAAATTACTGGCTCCTCCACTATCCGCGTCATCTGGTTATTGTTCAGGGAATATATTCCAGGGTGGCCCATCTTAAGACATAGTATATACTGGTTGTTGGACGATCAAGTTGAAAGATATATATATATATACAGTTATGAGGGGTGTTACAACATTCGCCATTGCGGCGACTTTATTATCGACATGTACCGAGGGGATTCAATTGCACAAGCGAACGGATGGAGCACCACGAGTCGTTGAATTTCCAGTATCGAGAAGGACAACACCTAATCCAGTGGCGAGGGACAGGTTACGGAGGAGATCGGAAACTGTCCAAGCCACATTAGACAATGAGGTCAGTCTCGAGGTGGTCGTTGGTATGAGTGAGGGCTAACAGTTAGTAGGAAACATTATATTTTGCTAATGCGACACTGGGAACGCCAGCACAAAGCTTTCGATTACATATCGACACTGGAAGTTCGGATCTTTGGGTGAACACAGCAACTTCGACATTATGTAAAGGAAAGGGAAGCCCATGTGCCTTTGCCGGTACCTACTCAGCGAATGCATCGTCGACATACTCGTACGTGGCAAGCGACTTCAACATTTCATACGTGGACGGATCAGGAGCTTCGGGGGACTATGTAACGGATACATTTACCATTGGTGGAACGACATTAAAGTCTCTGCAATTTGGAATTGGATATACAAGTTCTTCAGACGAAGGTATCTTGGGAATTGGGTACCAGATCAACGAGGTACAAGTTGGCAGAGCAGGAAAGGCGGCATACAACAACTTGCCAGCACAGATGGTGGCAGACGACTTGATCCAATCGAACGCATACAGCTTGTGGTTGAACGACTTGGATGCCAACACTGGTAGCATCTTGTTTGGTGGCGTCGACACTGCGAAATACCACGGCTCACTCGAGACTTTGCCAGTGCAGAAGGAGGATGGATACTTTGCAGAGTTCTTGATCACTCTTACTGAGGTGACTCTCGGCAATACTGTCATTGCATCGAACCAAGCACAGGCCGTTCTTCTCGACACAGGCAGTTCCTTGACCTACCTCCCAGATGCGATGACGGAAGCCATCTACGAGCAAGTTGCAGCACAATACGACTCCTCAGAAGGCGCTGCATACGTGCCCTGCTCCTTAGCAAGCAATACCACCACCTTGAACTTTACCTTCTCAACACCCACCATCTCCGTCCCCATGGACGAGCTTGTCCTCTCCGTAACTTCCAGCAACGGCCGACAATTGACCTTCTCGGACGGAACAGCAGCCTGCCTCTTCGGCATCGCCCCAGCAGGCTCCAGTACCTCCGTTCTGGGCGACACCTTCATCCGATCCGCCTACCTCGTCTACGACCTCGCCAACAACGAGATCTCGATCGCACAGACGAACTTCAACGCCACAGGCACAAGCGTAGTCGAGATCGGAACAGGTACCACCGCCGTCCCAGACGCAACATTAGTCGCGAACGCAGCTACGGCAGTAGCAGGAACCAACGGCGGTGCGGTCGCAGGCACCGTGACCGTAGGCGGGACAGCGACATCGAAAGCAGGCGCACAGCGAACGACGGCTCCTATGAACATCGGTGCCATGGCAGCCGTCGGTGCGGGTATTGTTTATGCGGCGATGTAGATATGTGCATGATAGAAGGAGGATCTCTCTCATATTTTCAGCAGTAGCGGCATTTTAGACAAAAGGCCACCATTTATCCCGGCCTGGGTTGGAGCGAAGCATTTGCATGGCGTTTAATGAATGAACAACGGGAAAGGAAGATACTGGAGATCTTGGTGTCTTGGTCGCTGGTTTTTGTTTTATGTCTGGAGGAGATTACTTGGCATCATTAGCATTGGTTGGCGTAGATCATTTGACCTAGACCTTTGTATATATACCGAACGAAATGAAGAAGAATGAACAGACAAAATCCTCAGCCTAGTAGTGAAATCTAGTAGTGAAATCTGCAGCCAGCCCTGTACCTTTGAGTCAGAAAATCCACCCAAAAGCCTAGAAGAAGAAAATTCTCCAACCTCGCTAGCATCCCTTCTCTGCCCCAAGAACCCAAATAACAACTTTCCCAGTCACCCCGAAAGCCCGGGTAGCTCATTAGGTAGAGCGTGTGGCTCTTAGCTATTATTGGCATAGATAACCTCAAGGTCGCGGGTTGTGAGTAACATGTTGCTCAAAAATACCCTGTGCCAAGTACTGACGGATCATTTTCAGCGAGCCCCGCCTCGGTATGTATACACTTACAGCAGAGGAGTGGGGTGATTTGATGTTAATGTGTGTTTGCAGGGCTCAATTCCCGAGTTTGTGAAAGACTCTCTTTTTTTTGGTTCTTTTTGAGAGGATGGGGTTTGAGGAAAGAGAGGAGTTTATTTTTGAGTAAGTGTGTTTTCCTGCCGGATCTGGTAAGCGAGGTGTTGGGTACGAGGTGCCGAAGTTTTGCTGTTGCTTTTCTGGTTATGATTTCCTGTGTTATGATGGGTGTCAAGAAGCGTCTTCTTCCCGTGTTGATCGTTGGGCGTTCAAGTTTGAAGTTCATTTCATGTAAAGTCAAGTTTCTAGGTGTGGGTTGAGATCAGGATCAGCCACTCGTCCTCGATGTGGCGTCGAGTGATGCCCCGCTTATCTTCTGCTTTATTCACAGTGTGGAAAGGGCTGCTTTACATTTCGTATAGCTTTTTATTGAGCCTGCATTGGAGGTGTGGAAATGGTCATAGCATTGAACTGAGACTCAAGAAGTGCTAGTGTGAAGAGCTTCATCTTTTCCGACATATTTTTTGCTATTGTTGTTGATGTTGACATGTAGGAAGTCTAACATAATTTTTCAAATTCACGCTAAGTATTAGACTGGATAAATGTCTAGTATGCTGGAATGGGGAGATTCCGGTTGGTCTTTGCGCGCGGGGTCAAGTTTGTGGACGTAGCCATATGATCATACATAAGTCCACACCGAGGCTAATGTGCAAAGACTCAGAGTCAAGCAGCAGATGTTTTCTATTTGATTTTCTTTGTTGGTAGGAAGTTGGTGCCCAAGTGTCTCTTTACAGCATTCCCTTCTCGGGAGATCACAGCTATACCCGTCTATTGCTTCCTTTTTTGGCAGAAGGTGCATGCTTTTTCGTCCACTATGAGCTCCTAGCCAGTTTGGTGATGGATATCATACCCCCCTCATACAAAAGACAGCTGATATCAGTGACAGCCTCACGTAAGATGAATCCCGAAGACGCTGGAGTTTGCCACTTACTCGTTAGAGCTCCCTCTCGATGGAAGGGTCAATGCCTTGAAAGAGATAAGTGTTGCTTAAGGTGGTACTGGCGACGAAAGATGTGGAAGAGTGGCGTTGTTCCAGAACGACTGGAAGTCGCCGAGCTGGATCTCGGTCCAGAAGATGGTCAGATGAATGACTCCATAAGTATGAAGAACATCAAAACTGTTGTAGCCAAAAGGTTAGCGCAACAGTGATAGCCAGAAAGCTTTAGGTTCGTTTGAGTTCTGTGATTGGGAGATGGGACGAATATGATTCTTGTTTCCAAGTCTGCTTCTCGACAATGTGTCAGAGTAGTATTGCGGCGTGGAAACTGGCAGCCGATACTTGACATATCCATCAATGAGAATATACTTTCATTTGCTCGTGGCTGCAATCTCTGTGCAGGTAGGCCCGAGCTCGCCCGAGCTTCGTTGAAGGATATCAGCACCGGTTGTGATTTGGTTTCCTGCTTGCGGGGCTGTCCAAAATAGGATGTTGCTCGAATTATCGCGGTTAAATCAGTACAGATATCCATGCGGCGCAACAGGTTGAAATACTTTGAATATCGCTGAGGAATACATGACCTGATACGGCAACGAAAGGTAGCGATTAGAAAGTGTTACGAAGCTGCCAGCAAACCTTCAGACTTTACGGACATTGAGAGAACAGGCGGAGAAGCTTTCCAGAATTTCATATGTATGGACAGCAAGTAGAGTTTATGTACAGGTGAGGCTCAGCTGCACATCTCAAACGCCCGCATCCACCACCTTAACGACCTTTGGTCGGGAGTAGAATGTTTCAAACTGCTCTTCACATCCCGCTCTTGGCCTTTTGCTGTCTCCTCTGCTCACGATCAGTTCACTTTACGCCGTCTTTCTCCACCAATAACACCTAACATTGTTGAAGTTATTCGCATTCGTATAGAGAAAGAAAGTCTCTATGGTCCAAGGAGTCAAAGTCCAACATATCTGAGCCCGTGCTTCTCGTCTAAGCTGCCTACTTACAGTATGATGTGCATCCGGCTTACTACATCTGATAGTCCAGCCTTATATCTCTGCCCCACGCCCACAGACTCAGTCCCAGTAGCTGCAAGCAGATAACAATCAGTTGGCACAACATAATCCCAAAACTCTTATCGAACCCCCATGTTCATACCAGACTTGAAACATACGACCGGCAATTCTCTCCGGAGACGCGTCCCAGCGAATACGCGGATGTCGCTACCGACGCTGTTCTGGCGCCGCATGCGTACATCATGATGACCACGACCTCGAAGAAGGCCTGGAGAACCCTGCCCGCTGTCGGGAGCTAGGGAATCATCCGAGAAGTAACGGCCTAGGAACGGGACGCTTAGATTCGGGAAGGAAGTGTACGGCAAGGTAATTGTTGAAGAAGTGACCACACGACTTACCTCACCTCGATGATTGGTTCAAAGTAGAGAGTCTGACGAATTGCATCTTGCAGCTGTAGCGAGTCAGAACGGGTGTGGAGAAAAGGAACGAGAAAGTAATGTTGAGAATAATGGCTCTGAATAAGCAAGATCAAAGTCGAGCTTTGAACAAGACTAACGAACATGGGGACAAAAGTCCGTGCGTTCAGGCTGTAGAACCTCGAAATTAAAACTCTTCACATTAGGACTAAACTATCAACAACTCCACCATTATGGATCCTTTTACCACTCCACCTATGTCTCCA